CATGGGGGGTACTGTTTTACTCGAGAGACTTCGCTGAACACAAATATTAGTGTTTCAAAACATTAAAACATATCACAGCGATGATCTTGTCAGTGAAAATGATTTTTCTTTGCATTTTTCACACACAAACAGCACTGTCACTGAAGTTATACTTGTTGTGATACGTTTTACTGTTTTGAAACACTAATATTTGTGTTTAGCAAAGTCTCCCGAGTATAACAGTACCCCCAATGTACAGGTTTTATAGTGTTTTTGAAAGTTACAGGGTCAAATATTTTTACATTGAAAATTGCCAGATTTGTTATGTTGCCTTCGAGAGCGTATGGTAGCCCAGGAATGAGAATTACCTCCATGATGGCATACCATTTGCAAACGAAGACAACCCATGGTATTGCAAATGGGGTATATTCAGTGTTTTATAGTAGCCACTTCGTCACAAACACTGGCCACAATTAGCATTCATTTTCATTTTTTGCAATTTTCACACACAAATATAAATGCTAACTTTGGCCAGTGTTTGTGACTAAGTGGCTACTAATATAGACTGGACATACCCCATATTGAATACCCTGGGTTGTCTACTTTAAAAAAATATGTACATGTGAGGTGTGATTCTGGGATTTATGACAGATAACAGTGTTACAATGTCACTATTGATAAATTTTAAAAATATATATATATTTTGAAACAGCAATTTCCTACTAGAACTTGCAAAATAAAGCAAAAAAGCATGTAAACACTGGGGGTTTTTAAACTCAGGACAAAATTTTGAAGCTATTTAGCAGTTTTTTTCATTAGCTTTCATAGGCAAGTAAAAGATTTTTCAAGTAAAAGTAAAAAAAAAAAAAATTTTCTTCAATTTTTCACCAATTTTTTAAAGTAAATTATATGACATGATACAAATAATGGTATGTAAAGAAAGCCCCTTTTGTCCTAAAAAAAAAAAAAAATTACAGCTAAACACAAACGTGTTAAAATAGCTCTGGTCCTTAACGTACAACACGGCCAAAACAGTCCAGTCCTGAGGGGGTTAGACAGCTGAATATGACCGAGAGTTTATTTTTGAGATGCCCAACATTGCATGGGACAAGTTTCATGTACACACTAGCTCTCAATTACCTGCATGGTTTTTGGTTGGCTAAGCCAAGCTTATGACCAGGTGGCTGTAACCATAAAGTAGAGACATGCACTGAAAATGTAAACATACCCCAAAGGAAAACAGCTTGGCTGGAGTTAGTATTTTAGTAAAATGTATAGAGATTTGAGACTGTTAAAGGAAAACCGCCTTCATTTATTTTTATTTCAATTTTTTTACATTTTTTTAAAATTAAAATAAAAAGTTGCACAT